TCTCACCCCCTAGGATTGTTCTATACTAAAGAAAAAAACATATGCCCTTATTTTTTTTTATTTTGAAATCAAAAAATATTTAAAAGTCGCTCAAAGTGCATAAAGTTTTCCGTGTATTTTATATGAGGAAAAAACAGCTTTTTGTAGAAATGCTATAGAATAATTAAAAATCAATACGTTTTTTTAACAGAAAACTCTGCTTATCTGCAGGAGATTCCCAATAATAATACCCAATTGTTTATTTAACCATTTTTTCATCGCAACTATAATTTATAAGTCCGCTAAAACCCCAACAACAAACACCGAAAAATGCAATGGGGCGACCAATAAAAAATCGCTAGTATTAAAAAATGGTTAAATAAGCAATTGGGTATTAATACTGAAAGTATCCTGAAGAGAACGAGGGTTTTCCGATGAAAAAATATTGATTTTCCAGAATTCTATACCATTTCTACGAAAAATTTTATTTTACGCATATAAAAATACATGGAAAACTTTGAGCGCTTTGAGCAACCTCTAGATATTTTTTGATTTGAAGATAAAAAAATATGAGTATACTTATTTTCGATATATAACAATCCTAGGGTATGAAAGCATTGCAATTCCGACTTTACTGTTTTTGGACCACCCTAATGTGCAAACACTTATGTATAATTGTACTAACATTCGTATGATGAAATGCATACGCCTGCAGTCTTTCACTTATCTTCACCTGTGTTTGCATTCATTTCAATCCTGATAGGAATAATTATCAAGCAATAAAGTGACTATCGATCTGCCCAGAAAGCACAAGTGCATTTCTCTCTCAATACCAGTATTTTTTTCTACGATTCGATACTATGTATGCACTAATTACAGTGTTTTGACTTTATTTGCCTGTCTGCTTAAACCAATTCCATTTGTCGCAAGGTTTTACTTTGTTCCATACATTTTTGCGTCTTCATGCAACTACGCCGATAGATACTTACTTACATATATTTGTATGTATCTACATACCTACACAAAGGCAGTTTTTCTATCTAAGTAATAGCTATTCACTACTTGCAACATGGTGGCGCACTTAGCTTAGACAGTGTATTATCTTGAGTTTCGCATAACGAACAAGATTTAAACTTAAAAAATAAATACTTAAAAAAGTCAAAATAACAACTTGTGCTGGTGTGCCTACCGGCATGTACAGTGACGGTCAAAAGTGTATGAATGGTTTTTCGTTTTTTAAATTTATAATGTTTCACATTTTAAAACTTTTTACAAAATATAGAAAAATTCCACAAATTTTTATCCAAACTTTGAACTTTTTATCCAGAATTTTTTTAAATTTTTGGGTATGCAGTTAACTGGATTTTAAAATTTTAGTAAGATAAGTGGAAGTTTTGAGCGGCTAAAAATCGCATTGATTTTTAATAATTCTTTTTTTTTGGTTGACGGTGGTTTGCACTTTTTCCATATAAACATGAATTTTTGTGGAAGAATATGCGCAAAATATGCAAAAAATCAACGCCAGTTTGATAAATTTCGCTATTTATATGAAACAAACCGCAAAAGCCGTCAGCAAAACAAAACTTGCGATAGTTTTACTAAAATTTTATAGTCCTGTTAACTGCATACCCAAAAAATTTTAAAAAAATTCTGGTTAAAAAGCTCAAAACTTGGGTAAAAATTTGCGAAATTTGTCTAATTCTGTATAAAGTGTTATTTTATGGTTTTTGTTAAAGCATGAACCATGTTTTTATAAAAAAAATATCAAAAAAATTTTAGATTGAAACACATTGGAAACATTAAATACGAAACACCATTCATCCATTCTTGACCGCCACTCTATGTAACGAATACGCCCCATAGCACCATACACAACCAACTATACATTAACTCGCACGCGTGACTTTAAAAGTCTTGTTATTTAAAAGTAATTAAATTATTCCGTAGAATATTTTCCTGCAACATTCTTCGCGAAGATATATATTTATTTCCTCATTTATATAACAATTTAAGAATGAATTTCAGATGTGAAATTGGAATTTTTCTTTTGCAACTTAAATATCATCATCTTATAATCAATGTAGTTCCTTTTTCTTTGGTGGCACACTAGTTTTATTACTCTAGATTAGTTTTTTTTAGACAAAAAGGTTATTTTCATGATGTATTTATAACACTTTGCAGTATCTTTAACTTTTAAAATGAAAAAATCTTAAAATTTCAAAATTTACAAAATAATTTGCCGCCATTTTTGTTAATTTGGTGACACACTTTTGAAACTTCATTGTATTTGGTGCCAACTTTCATTGCCTATAATATGAATATTCTATCTAAAAACTTCCCTTAGTTATTGGAAAAATAATTATGATTTTTTCCAGTGATATAAACATAGTATCATGAATGCAATATTACTCATACGCTCTGTAGTTCTTTAAATATTAGTTCTTTAGATATTAGGTTCGGCAACTCCAAAACTCTCGGCACAATTCCAACAAATTTAAATAAACTTGATTCAAAATCTAAAATTTAAATCAAAAAAAAAAAACTTTTTTTAATCTTTAAGTTAAAATAAATGAAAATTAAAAAGACAAACAAATAAAATATGATCTTAAAAATTTGTTAAAAAAAAAATAAAACCTAAAAATTAAAAGAAAACGAAATTAACAATCGAAAAACAAATTAAATTGAAAAAGGAAAAAATTAATTAAATAATTTCTAAAAATAAAATTAAGTTAAATATATATTTTTCTTTTATAATATAAAATCTAAAAATAAAAAGAAAATTAAACTGAAAAAAATAAGACAGCAAAAAAGTTATAAAATAAGTTCCTAAAAATTAAATGAAATTTAAAGAAAATCTTTTTAAAACATTACCATCTAAACATAAAGTAAAATTAAATTAAGTAAAAGAATTTATTTAAAAAGGGAAAAATGCATAAAATAACTTTCTTAAAACAACAATATTTAAAAGATAAAAAAAAAAAATAATTATTTAAAAATGAAGGGTATTTTAAATAAAAGAAATATAACAAAAAAATTGCTACCCGAGACTCGAACTCCGATCTTTCGTGTGGCACGCCTGTGCTTTACTTACAAGGGCTTTCTCTCAGAATAGCTTTACACCACGAGTGGTGAATGATGGCGCTTTTTTCTATAAGTCTTCTTTGCCAGAATAACAAAAGTCTTTCGAACTATTTTGCCATCAGTCCTTCATTTGTCTAACGAAAGGCTTTTTACTATTTTGGCCAGAATTGCCCTATAAGTTTGCATTGCGAATGAAAAAATAAAATTCAAACTTTAACATGGAAAATTTTACTCATACGCATTTACTCATTTGCATTTCCAAAGGCGCAAGATATTTATTATCGACGATTTTTTATATAAATTTTATCTTGTAAAAACTTAAAACGACAAAAATTTCTTCAGGGTTTTTATAAGGCTTCAATTTAGCCACCCTAAGGAATAACTAGAACCCTTGGTAGTCATATAATGCAGTTATTCTACTGAAACTATAGTTTAAAAAAAAAAAAACAATATAGTTTTAAAATCGCTACGCTTTGGCTTCTGTCAACTTCACCAAATCTCACAACGCCGTCATATGCATTCGTGAAAAGCAATTTAATTTCCGCGTTTCGAAAATGCTTTGTGGCCATTGACGCGACCACAGAATCCCAATTCTTTGTGGTGCACGAATGAATTTAAATAACCTACGCAAATATTAAATCTACTCAGAAATGCGCAGACACGTACACAACTCAAAGGGATGCAGGTAAGCATGCACACACACGCATGCAAGGAATTCACAAATATATATGTATCTATACCTCACCCTGGTAAGGAAACAATAGTACTGAAGATAAGGAAGGGTACATATGTGTATAGTCGCACACGTGAGATGCATCTGTATATGTATTTGGACGTATGTGTTTGCATGTTTACATGTGCATATGGATGTGCATATACGTATGCATATACTCATACATATGTATCGAGGGTACAATTCAACCAAGAAGTAAATTTCGCTTGTGAATACTCACGCGTGCATAAACACATGCATACACATTCATACGGATATTATAAACCAAGCCAACATTAAGTGGACATGTGTGCACGCCATGTGTGTATCGACTTATTACATATGTATGTATATATGTATATAAATTTGTAAAATTGCATTTTCGCGAGTATGCGCTCGATTTACATATAGCTTAATTTAATGTAACAATTTCAAAGTATATGTACTTATATTTGTATGTTTATATGTAATGAGCTGCTTACAAGCTTCTTTTACTCCGTCGTGTAATAATTAATTCCAACAATATTCGCTTGACAACTTTTGTTAGGCGAGTAATAAAATTGAAGCGAAAACTTTAGTTTCTGAGCAAAATTCAATTGGTGACACTTTTTACAAAAGTATCATATAAGTATCATATCGTTGCAAGAAGCAAAAGCTTATTCTAAAAACTACCAAACCATGAAAACTTGTATGAGGGCCTGGCTCATACCGCCCAATCTGTCTTTTCAAAATTAAATATGACCAAACTATTGGAGAAGATAATCACAGCTCAGTTTATAGTTTTCAAAGTGGTTGGGTTGCCTCCATATCAACACGGAACACTAGATACATACATATATATGTCAAAGAAAACAGACGAAAATTCCAAGAACACTATGTGCGTTGAGAAATTAAGAAGCTTGGCTCAATCAGCTCGATTAAATGAGTCTTCGGCCTTTTGATTCGTGCAGGAGTAAGGCTGGTAGATTTACATGCTCTGCTCTTATTTTAATTGTAACGCAGCAGCGATGGTAATTGCTGGTATGATACCGTTCGACATATTAGCAGCCGAAGTTACAAGAATATGGATACGAACAAACTGTCATCAAATAAGTTAAGCTACGTTTTTATATATCTGGAAAAAGCATTTGGAAGAATGATCGAATGGCATATGGATACACATTTTCTGTTAAGGAATGCCAAAGTTCCCTGAAAGCTCTACACAGCAACACATAATCAATCTTTACAGGGTCCCAGGACATAGTGGTGTCCCGGGAAATGAGGAAGTGGACGAATGTGTTAGAATGGGATCTGGTATGTGGCTTGGGGAAGCAAACCAGATCGTTTAACTTCCCCTGCGTTATTTCTCTTCAGAAGTCGAGAGAGTTACCAGGACAGCCACCAACAGGCGGTGAGAATATCTGCACACCTGCATAGTATCGTGCTCGCTCTGGGTTCGACGCGACGAACGCAGAACAGGGAGTTTATTAAGGCTGTCAAAACCAAACGTTAAGCTTCTCACAGGAATACTTATGAGACACTGGACCATTGGCCATGTGGCCGCCATATTTGGATGAGGAGGAGATAGAATACAAGCAGATAGATTGCGAGTGTCCAGCACTGCAAGTTTCTTGGGGACCATTTCTTCGAGAGCCTGGATACCTTGGGGAAAGCTCCATTGGAGGGACGGCCAGGATTTGCCAGAGAATCAAAATGGTTCAAAGACATGTACTGATATGCATTGGGTTACACCGGCTGGGCATTGCAATGTACCTTTTGTGCCCTTCGAGTGAACTCTTCTCTGAGCTGACCGCTTAACCTAACCTAACCTAACATAGTAGAAGTTATAGCTGGTATTTGGCAGATCACCACATCACATCAGACTTCTTTCAATCACAATAGCATTTGTCTCAAAAATCTTTTTTTTTTTTTTACTTGAATTTGCATTTTTCTTGCTCACTACTGCACACCTAAAGCCATGAATGTAAATTTCTTCTTCTTCTTAATTGAAAACTTCGTAGCGGTTAAATACGTACATATGTACATGTTCATTTAAATACACCAACGCACACTAAAACGCATGCGTACTTACGTGTGTATGCAATTGAAAGTAAGTTTAAATCTACATGCAAGCACCTTTGGCTCAACTGTGTATCGCAATATTGTATCCGGGTCAAGTTGGCCATGCATACATATATATATATATATATATATATATATATATATATATATGCATACATTCAACGACTCACTTAGTGTGTCTGGCTTTCAAGTTGTTAAAGTAGATTTTATTGAAATGAGAGAGAGTGAAAAGGGGAAATGGAAAGAGATAGCTGTTGTTAATTAATTTAACTTTAATACCCATCAGACTTTTATGCGTTTTTTAATTATTTCCGCATTGCTCAACGCAGTTTCACTTTCAATATGCTGATTTATTGCGCTGAACTTATAAACAAGCCTGAATTCTGCAGATATTTTTCTACATAAATACTCATTATTGTCGCATTGAGAGAATATTTTTATGCAGACAGTAAGCGGCAAAGCCAACAGTTTGCTTGTTTTGCATATCTCACAAGCATATTTGGAAGCTTCTGGCGTGCCCTTAAACGGACACTGGTTGCCGTTTAATTCGTCTTTTAATAGGTTTGGCTTCTTTTGAGCTGCCTCCTCTACTATCCTCCTGCACAGATAGGTTTTTAATAAGTTGATAAATGCATATGTATGTATATGAAAGCCTATTTCGTGCAATAAAAACGCCTCAATTCACACAACTCTTTGGATTTGTGCGCCTTTTAAAAGCATATACATCTGCCAAATGTCGAAAATCAAAAACGCCATTTCTCATTTCTGCACAAGATATCAATAATCAATGTCAGTCAATAACTTTCTTTTTTATCTCGAAAATCATAAATATCTGCGTTTACATATTTTTCAAGTGAATCAATCTGTAGCTGCAGAGTTTTATATTTCTATTTTGTCCACAATAACCCACAATAAAAAATCTTCAGTTCAACTTTTTATACCCGAGCGCACTTGTGCACAAGGATATATTAATTTTGTTCACATAACGGTTGTATGTAACAGCCAAAACGAATCGAGATAGATATAGACAAATGTATACATAATTGATCAGGATGAAAAAAGAAATCGATTAAGCCATGCCTGTCTGTCCGTCTGTCCGTCTGTCCGTCCGTCCGTGTACACGATAACTCGAGCAAAAATAGAGATATCTCAACGAAATTTGGTAAGTAGGTTTCCCCTAATCCAAGGTAGGTTGGTATTGAAAATGGGCGAAATCGGACTTTAACCACGCCCACTTCCCATATAACGGTAATTTCCAGAAATACGAAAACTGCGATATTTTATTAACTACTGAAGATAATTCACTCAAAATTGATATTTACAATAACTATCAGACGAAAAATAATAATATTATAAATTTTTGGAAAATCCCATATAACGGTAATTTAGAGAAATACAAAATCTTCGATAAATCAGTAAATATTGAAGCTAATTTATTCAAAATTGATGCTTGCAACAATTCTTTACCAAGAAATACGATTATGGTAAAACTTTGGAAAATGGGCGTGGCACCGCCCACTTATGATCTCATATAAGTATATCGGTAACCGTTCTACCAATTTGTACCAAACTCGGTGTGGTTATTGTGCTTGCCACATATAAGCAAAACGTTGAAAATTATTGAAATCGGACTAAAATAACGGCCGCTTCTTATATAACGGTATATTTCAGAAATTCTTGAAACTTCAATATCTCGAAATTGAAGTACGCTAATTTACTCAAAATTTATGCACCCCGGCTTACCATCTAGCGGAAGATTTCGGAAAGGTGAAAAAACATATATTCAATACTTGCGCCGGGTATTTAATTTTCGGCTCCGCCCGAACTTAGACTTTCTTACTTGTTTTCTACTATTTATGTACATAAAATCCATCTGTGGATGTATGTAGTTACATACAATAGCTGCAAGCGTAATTATTTCTCCGTAGATATTTCCAGTCGCTTGCGTTTATAAGCATTTGCTTTAATCTACCGGTCAGCCTTGGAGCTGATAGTAGTTATTCGTTTAAAAGCAGCAGCGTCAATTCCTCTTAGAGAAAATCTTTATATCACTACTTCATACCTGCAAGAGTGCTCTACTTAATTCAATTGCTATAACTATAGCAACAACAATATCACCATCAGGCATCCAGCAATCGTAGTCATAACTCTGTTACTGCGAAGTAAAGTCATAAGCTTTGCAAACTAAAAAAAATGCAATTAATTTGCCACTGGTATTTTACGCTGCTGGTTTTATGAATTTTTATTCGCAGTGATTTATGTTTTACTTTTATTTTTTTTTGCAGTGGTGGTAGTAGATATAATTTTTTACTTTATTTTTCACTTTTGTATAACAGTGTGCAACAATTTTGGGATCATGTAATCTAACGGGGAAACGACTAACGTAGTTCGATAGCGCTGGGCTAGGATAAGAAAACCCTAAGAAGGTTTTGAAAAGTTAGCTCGCTTTTAAAGCTATAACCGCGCAAAATTGAGCTCTTTCAGAGCAGTTTTCTACTACAAGTTATTTGCAGAGCAACTCTTCAGAAAAAGGAAAAGTATGAACAACTATGACACGGCTTAGGTTCTATTTTGACTTGGAAGTCTCCTGTAGAGAAATAAAGTTTTCTGATCGAAAAACATATAAAATACATGGAAAACTTTATGCGCTTTAAGCGACCTCTAAATATTCTTTGATTTAAAAAAAAATAAAAAATAGGAGTACAATTTTTCAGAATAGAAGAATACGAGGGAGTGAGAGTATTAAAATTCCGACTTTAAGTACTTTTTTGTACAACCCTTATGTACGTGCATACATATTTGAAATTACATTAGATATGCAATCTGAATTGATGGAGATGTGTTCGATCATTGCAGTGATCATGTCGCTAAAAATTCACTACTTACATCCTCATCTACAATTTATCAGACAAGAGTTACCGACTGAATCATACGAACAAATTGAACGGTTTCAACAGCTTGCGAAGCTTGCTTGTAAATTAATCTCATGACACAATAATAGCTGAATTTTGTTGGTGGATTTAGTCGCATCAGCCTATGATAATAATTATTTCGTGGTGGAGTTCTGAAAAGGTCATACAAATTTTCTTAAGAATTTTAAAATCATTTTATAATAGTTATGTATGTGTTAAATTTAATAAATCATGGATAACTTTTGAGACTTATATTGAAAAAGTCTTTTCATAACTATTATCAGCGAGTAACATTTTTTTTTAAGTCTTCGAATACCTTTATTTTGGGTCAGAAGAAATTTTATCGGTCCCGTTCACGACTATTTCGAGACCAGTGTGGCGCTAGTTTTTAATCAATTCGGCACTAGGGCGGGCCCAGTTCACACTGGTTCGTGTTCAATTCCGGTCTACTTTAGGACTAGTTCAGCTTAAAACAAGTAAGAAAGTCTAAGTTCGGGGGGAGCCGAACATTAAATACCCGGCGCAATTATTAAATATATGTTTTCCACCTTTCCGAAAGCTACCGCTACACGATAAGCCGGGGTGTATAAATTTTAAGTAAATTAGCGTCCTTAAATTTCGAAATATTGCAGTTTCAAGCATTTCTGAAATATACCGTTAGATGAAAAGCGGTCGTAATTTTAGTCCGATTTCAATAATTTTCAACGCTTTGATTTTATGTGGCAAGCACAAAAACCACACCGAGTTTGGTACAAATTGGTAGAACGGTTACCGATATACATATATGTGATCATAAGTAGGCGGTGCCACGCCCATTTTCTAAAATTGTATCATAAGCGTATTTCTTGGTAAAAAATTGTTGCAACCATCAATTTTGAATAAATTAGCTTTAATATTTACTGATTTATCGAGGATTTCGGATTTTTCTAAATTACCGTTATATGGGATGTGGGCGTGGTTATTGTCCGATTTTAAAAATTTTCGGCCATTTGGTATGCTGTAGCAGGACCAACAACTGTGCCAAGTTTGGAAGAAATTGGTGCAGCGGTTACCAAGATATACACATGTAACCATAAGTAGGCGTGGCTACGCCCATTTGCCAAAATTTTTTAATATTCTTATTTTTCGTCTAAAACTCATTGTAAATATCAATTTTGAGTGAATTATCTTCAGTATGTACTAAAATATCGCACTTTTCGTATTTCTGAAAATTACCTTTATATGGGAGGTAGGCGTGGTTATTGTCCGATTTCGCCCATTTTCAATACCGTCCGTCCTATGCCCAAAAGAAGTCCACGTACCAAGTTTCGTTAAGAAATCTCAATTTTTACTCGAGTTATCGTGTGCACAGACGGACGGACTTTTTTGGCATTATTTTTCTTGGATTTTTCTCGAATGTTTGGAAATTTTAGTGATTTAAAAAAAAATTGTTTGGCTTGCTGT